AGGTTATGATTGAGGTGTGTTCAGGGGTTTTAAACCTCTATTCCTACAAAAAGGACTGGGCCTCCGCAGCAGCCAGGAGAGGTCAGGACGCCAGCCCGGCGCTGGAGCTCTGCGGGGTTCAGCTGGGTCGGGGGAAGAACGGCTCCTAGGGAAGCCGCTGACGCTTGGGTTTCTCCACACAGGCCCCCAAAAACCCACATAATGTTTTGTCCGCGTGATATTATTTAAAGACTGGTTACATGTGGTTTTTTATTTGCCACATTAATAAATATCAAACGTAAGTGAGGTTTTGCATGGAACTCACTATTGCAGCATTAGTGACGAAATACTGAATTTGATGCAGGTTTACAGCTGCTTTGGAGGCTCTCCAATATTTATTGCCATCAAAAGGAGGAAAAAGCTTTATTTTGACATAAATATGATTACTAAGAGTTAAACAAGTGTATAGAACTTAGAAGAAAATTGCCTAAAGCATTGTATTAGTATACCACTTTATTTCCTAAGGGAAGATTTTTAGGGTCCACCTTATCCAAAATTTGTGATTCAAATTCAGTGAAATTCTCTAATGTGTGATGACTTCACAGGATCTTATTCCACAATTGAAAAAAAAAAAAAAAACACCAACCACAAAAAAAACCCACCACACAACCAAACCTCTTGGAAGGGTATTATTCGGTATTTCAGAGTTAAATTTCAGTTCCGTTGAAAATGCAGAGGGTTGGGATTTTTTTTCCCAGCTGGGCACATGCTGCTTTTGTTGAGGAAGTTTACTGCCTGCTCTGGGTGGACAATATCCCTTTTGTGTTTGTTGTGTAATTGATTACATCAAATGACCATCTAGCACTGTTTTAAAAAACATTTCTTGTTAAAGTCTATTGACGCTGTCAGTAAAGTCTGTAATGTCAATGATTTAAGGGTGTTTGTTAAATAAGCAGGACTGGAAGTAAACATTCTTATCTAATCTTGTAGCACTTTCCATCTTCATGGTGCTTTGTAGATGTTAATTGAGGTTTTACAATTAAGTGGTATTTAGTTCATCACCTCGTTGCCTTCTAGAGAAAATGGGAACATCAAATTTCTGACTAAAGGTGATAATAATGAAGTTGATGATAGAGGCTTATACAAAGAAGGTCAGAACTGGTTAGAGAAGAAAGACGTTGTTGGAAGAGCGAGAGGGTAAGTAATGCAAAATGTCTATGTTCTTTGTAACTAAAAGAAAATTTTCAATTGAAATCAGTTCCGCCGTTGGTACAAACTAGATCTGGTATGGTATTTTTTGAATTTCTTAAATAAAACGGTAGTTAAAAAACTTACTTTACCTGGAAAAGTTGATTTCTGTAATCCTCTCACTGCTGTGGGAAGCGGAAATTATTTTTTGGGGAAAATGGCACATTTAACAAATACTTCAACACTAACTACAAAGCTAACCAACTTATCCTTGTAACTGCTAGAAATTACTAGGAAATTATTTCTGCTTTCCACAGTAATATTATGCGAGGTTTGAACTTTAGACTTTGTCCCCTTCCCCAGCTGAGATGAAATCTCTTGAGACTTTTCTCAAATAACTTGATTAAATTTTCACCTAAGGAAAAAAAAAAAAACTTGCATTCAGATATGCATTAGTGCCAAGCGTAAATGATTGTTTTACACAGTTCTTATCTGGAATGCTTTTGCTTAGAGCCTGTAGCAAAGTGTTGGTATTGTTCGGGCTATGAGAGTCTTAGTGGTGCCACAAGGAGCTCGATGGGAATTGTGCTGTGTCCGGTAGGCTAACATGAATGTCACGGGCCAAACCCAGGGGAAAATAGGACTTCTTGTGTCATGTTATATACTTCTGTATTTTCTTCCCTAATCTAAGAATTCCGTAAGTCGTCATAGATACAGATTAACTTACATAACAGTGCAAAATACTTTTCTGCGAGAATATTTATTTGCTTGATTATTTTATTTTTTTTTTAGATTCTGTCCCTGTCTTCAATTTAAATAAAAAGACACAGAACAAGTGCCCCTCTAAACCCTTAATGCTGGTAGACTAGGTTAATTGCTAATTTAAAATACTTTCTGTATTAGTTTGAAACCTGTTCTGTGTTAGACGATATGGCTTTTATAGCTGCAGAACAACAGAAGACCCTAAAAAGCTAATTCCCCGGTGTTGTAGGACGTTAGGCTTTTGTGCGTACCCCTCATTACGATGATATTTACTTGCCATTTCTGGATCCATGTATATTTTTAATGCTGTGAATAACGTGCAGCAAGATGAAGTGTGGGAGGAGAGGGAAATCTGAGAAATCTTGCTCCCAAATTTTCATTAAGTACATATTGTCTTTAAAGCTGTTGCTGTCTATCTGATTTGGGTTTTCTGAAATCCATCATCTAAGATATTCGAGACGGAGTAACATTGAAATATTTCCATGTAATATTTGAGGGCTAATTTTACATTCATCTGTTTTGTCAATTACAGATTTTTGCCTTATGTTGGTATGGTAACTATAATAATGAATGACTATCCAAAATTTAAGGTATGTAAACAGACATTTTGACTACTTAAATTTAAAACTATAAACTAGCAAGTAAAGGTAGTAAGAGTCTTGCATATAAGAATACATGTTAATAAACTTGTTTCTGTGGTTTGGTACCTAATATAAAAGGAGCTGTGTTTTCCTGCTTATTTTAGCTGGTCTGTTATCCGGTAGAACTTAGTATGTGTAATAATTTGAAAACATTTAATTTATAGGAATGTCATAAGTTAAGTGCATGTGGTTGTGACGCCTGTTTATAATGAATGTGATCACGTGAAAATATTCCTCTAATTCTGTAGGAACACAACTCTGTAATTGTGTACTCCTCTAGAAGGTGTAATGTTGGAGAGGGCACACTTTGAACAATTTCTAATTTTAGAGCTTCTATGAAGATAAATTATAATGACACTTTATTCTCTATTTTCTTTCGCAGTATGCTCTTCTGGCAGTGATGGGAGCATATGTACTGCTGAAACGGGAATCCTAAAAAAAAAAAAAAGACACTTTTCCAAGAACAAAGTTAAATATAGAGGGGAAAAAAACCCTAATATTTCAGATGTTTTCATTTCTGTATACAGTTACAAAACTGTACAAGCTTTTGTCTTGTCTAAATAAACTGTACAACTAATGAGTAAAGCTTTTGGCTGTTGGTTAATTATGAAATGGCATATTTTCTATCTTCAGTAGATCCTGCTTTCAGTTAGCCTGTAGCTGGTTTGGGAGACACCGACTGTCGTGTGCTAAAGCAGCTTATGGCACTCCTTGACATGCTGTGTTCTTTTTCTTCTGTGGTGCTGCATCCGAACCCACTTTCTCCCTCCTGTTTGTTCTTTTTTTTTTTTTTTCTTGATTATTTTTAATCTCTGTCAGGGCCCTCTCTTTTCACAACCATACAAACTGTTTTTATCCGTATTTGTAGGACATAGCATACGGGTTGGAACAGGTAGTGCCTTGTAGGAGTTTAGTCAGACTTATGCCTAAAGAAAGTTGTCTAGATGCGGTCTGACAAAAATAGACAAGAAAGGCTTCTTCATTCTGATTGAGAACTGAGAAATGGAAACGTGGAACTTTTTCCCTGAATTTGAAACTTGCCCCAGTGTGGTGTAGGGACAAAAAAAACCCTAATGGACTGATTTTTAGCGACTCTGTATGTTTCTAGAATTCAGGCTGTTAACCATTCTGCCTTTATGCTCCTAGCTATAAAACAAACCTTATAAAAAGATTTTATGGGGCTTTATTAACACTTGTAAATTACTGAATGAGTAGCAATGTACTTCAGTAATACTACCAATAAGACATAATTCATATTCCAGTTTTGAGAACGTATTGTTCTCATCTGTCATATGATACCTGAATGGTGTGAAACATAAAATTGATTTTTTCCTTTAAAAACTTACCTGATAACTGTCTTACATGCAGTTCTGGGGTTTTCTCTTCTTGGCTTCAAATGTCAGTGATGTACCTTCAACAAAGCAGAACTTGTTTTCCTCTCTTGCTTTGGTTTTGTAGCTTTCATAAGGAACAGCATGATGCTTTTTTCCTATGGAGTTTTGTTTATTCTCGAATCCCTTACCTTTACAAAAATATACTATTATACAATAATGGCACCTCTTCTGTTGTAACTGCTAGTGCTGAAAGGCAGACAACTGCTGAATTTTTCCAAGTAATATTACTTCTTTTGTGTCCTACTAAGCAGTTTTCATGACAAACTGTATTATAAAATTGACTTGTTTTGTGCCAAATTGTATAGAAATAAAATTGAATATAATAAATGGCATGTCAGAATAATTTAGGTATCCTTAATGCAGTCTTCCCAGAAGTGTACCATCACAGTTAAGAAAAAATAATTTTGTTTTTGGAGACAGTGTATGTGTAGTAAGACTTCTCCCCCGCCCCCCAGTATTGCTGAAATTGATTTATTCTTATCCACCTCCCCCAGCGCAATCACAGTCAGCTCTAACTTCGAGAACAGGGTTTTGGACAGAACCCAAATGACAAATGGGACACGTTACTGTGGGAAATTATTCTTGTGTTGAGGAAACATGGATTAGTAAAATGAGACAAGGATAACATCTAAATATGCAGGTTCGTGCTCAGAAAAAAAGGTTGTATTTCTTGGGTATGATATCCTGTCTCTTGTTTTAACTCTTCCTGGTAAATCTTAGCCCGCAGAATTGACTCGCGCAATGGAGTGAAGTACGGTTGTCAGTGTTGCTGCATCTGCTCTCACAGTGCAACGCGGAGTGACAGTGCGGCCCCGGTTTGTCTTCCTGGTTTGGGCTGGATGCTCAGAGATCTGCTAATGCACCCACCGAAGCAGCTTTGGTCCGCCACAGGCAAGAACTTGTTCAACCGTATAAGTCATCTACTTTCTCTTTTGTGACAAACATTAGCTTTTTTCCAGCTAGCGGGACCAGATGCCATAATGATAAATCTTACGTAATTATGAAGAGTTCCTGCCTGCATGGGAAGGGTATAGAGAAGATGGAGCTGGGCTTGTCTCTTGCCTTGTGACCGGGCACCACTGAGAAAGTTCCATCTGAATGTAAAAGAAAGTCATTTTTACCGTGCAGGTGGTTGAACGCTAGAACAGGCTAAAACCATGGTGAAACAATTAAAACGTGGTACAGCTACTCTCACATAGGATAAAAGACTTTTTTTTTTCAGATTCAGGAATCTCTTAATCATTTCTAAAAAAATTTCTCATAGTATTTGTGTTGATCGCTAGCAAGCTTACCTTTTCCGTGCAAAAATACACGGGTTTGCTGGCTGGGGCTGCTGTGTCCAGGCCCGTTCGGTCGGCTGCCGGGGAAGGCTTAGAGATCACCCACGGCCAGCGGGACTGGGTTGCTCTTCATTCTGCTCTTGACTCGTTCCCGTAGCCGCCTGAGCTGCTTTGAGCCAACCGTTTCCATTTCTCATGATCTCCTTAGATAGTGCTGCTTATTAATTTCCTTCGAGTAGAAGCCAGGGAGGGAAGGGCTGCCAAAAGTTCTACCAGAAATTTAGATTCTGGACAAAACCCCTTTCCTTCTGCTAGGTAATGGTACAGAATCTTTTCATTCTTAGGCTTGTAAACAATGATAAATGATCTGCGATGGTGAAATGCGTATCGGGAGAATGTTTTCTTTCTGCTCTGAGTAAATTGCGCTGTATGATGCTTGAATGATTTAATGTCCACTAAATATTATTAGAGTTTGCAGCAGAGAGAATGCAGTTTGCTGTTTCATGTATTTTGTAGCTGAATGTTGGCACCTTTTCCTGCTGGTCTTCCTCGGGACAAGTTTGCAGGTGACTTTGTGTTGCAGCTGAACTTGCCGTCAGCTCCGGTTGCTGCGATCCGATGATCCACCTGCGGCAGACGATGTGGCCACATATCTCGTTGTGTAAGCTCTCACGTTCCGTGCAGCCAACGCAATTTGGGAACTCGGGGAGAAGTTAGTAGTTTCGTGCCGGGTTTGTGAGTTGAGTGGGCTCAGCATAGCACATGGTACGGGAAAGGAGGAGCGTGATAGAGGCGAAGGAGGAGAAAGGGGTTTAGCCTTTGGGAACAGTGAGCTGTTAGATTTTCCCAACTCTACCATGCAACTTCGTGATTCAAATTTAAGAAGGGTGTGAAGGTACTCGTATGTGTCCAGAGGAGGACAACAAAGCTGTGCGGGGCTGGAAGGCACGTCCTCTGAGGAGCGGGTGAGGACTCCGGGTTTGTCTGGTTTGGGGAAAAGGAGGCTGAGGGACTGCCTCGTGGCTCTCTGCGGTTCCTGAGGAGGGGACGTGCAGAGGGAGGTGCTGAGCTCTTTTCGGCGGGATCCAGGGACAGGACACCTGGGAACGGTTCAAAGCTGCGCCAGGGGAGATTCAGACTGGACGTTAGGAAGCATTTCTTTACCGAGAGGTGGCCAAAGCCTGGGACACGCTTCCTTGAGAGGTGGTGGATGCCCCAAGCCTGGCAGCGTTCACGAGGCAGTTGGACAGTGCCCTTCACAACGTGCTTTAGCTGTTGGTCAGGCCGTTGGACTGGACGGTTCCTGCAGGTCCCTCCCAGCCCGACTATTCTATTCTGTCCAATTCGGCTGTTTATCACCTCTACAATAACTTGCAGCGAGGGCACAAACCAGCCCCAAATTACATGTACTTATGTGGCTGCTCCTTGTGCTGCAAGTGGAATTTTACATAGACCTTTCAGGGGTGAGGGACCAACTGCACTTGTGCGTGTGTTCGGCCGGTGAGAGATGGGGCTGAGTAATGGAAAGAAGTGGGTTAAGATCCCACATACTTGATGCATGGAGATGCTTTCCCTTTTCTACAAATACAACTTCTTTCTTCGATCGCCGGCTCTGCGTCTAGGCTGCAGCTTCCCTTTGAAGTCTGAACAGATCAAGGATATAATTGGCAGATCTACTGACTCATTAACTGGAGGCAGAAGGCTCCATCGATCCTTGAGGCTGTGGTAACTGGTTCACCTCGGCTCGGATGCTGCTTAGACATCAGTACCCCCCGGGAAGAAGGGCTGGCTCGGCTTTTGGTGTGAAACACTGTGCATTGTGTCACTGGAGAAAAGAAAAGAGCATTTTAAAGCAAATGCCTCCATCCTAACAAGGCCTCTGGACGGGTGTTTGTGAGAAAGATCAAGATGCTGCAGGCACAAGCGGTATGTCTATACCTGAGCCGTTGGGAGTCGGAGAAGCTCAGGCTTTGATGGAAGCTCTGTGTTTTTTCTGGTTATATGCCTTTTTGCAACTCAGCTAAAAACTGCCCCCGTGCACCCGGTGCGGTGCAGCGCAGGCTGCAGCGTGTGCGGAAGGGGACTGCGGGCACCGTGGGGACCCCCGGGCTGGGCCACCAGTGAGGGACAGACCCTCGGGCTGCAGGCAGGGCTGGTCCCTGCGGTGGTGAGCCCGCAGGAAGAGCTGAGCGGGACATGGGGTTTGTTCCATCTCCTCCGCTTCTCTCTTCGCAGCGCTTCGGCGCTGACGCCGGGGTGGCAAAGGCCGGGGGTGTGCGGGGCAGCCCCTGCTCTGCTGGCCGGGTGCCCGTCTGCTCCTCACAGCGCCAGAGGTGTCCGAGTCCCCGGGTCAAGAAGCACAGGGAACTGCTGGAGACAGTCCAGGAAAGGGCTGTGAAGATGATGAGGGGATTGGAGCATCTTAAACTGGAGAGAGAACTCCAGTTTAAGCCTTGTTTAGCAAGTCATTTCTCTCCACGCTTAATCAAGATAGTGAGCAACAGTGATGAAGAGCACATTTTCCTTTGCGCATATGGATTTTATCAGTGTTTCTTTGAACGTCTTAGGGGTCAAAAGCAAACAAAACGTAAGCCACCCACATGACAAAAATTCAATATGTTTCTCTGCTACACAGCTTGGCTTAAATAAGTATATTCCATCTCTTCTGTCATCGTTGATGCTGCGGCACGCTGCTTTTGTGTATAGAACCATCTCTGCTTCTGTCATTTGTGTGTGAATATGCTGTCAGCAGAGACTATAGATACATATCGCAGAATGGTGCTATATACGCTATGTATAGTCTGTGTCTGTATGTAGGTACGTGGAAATCTGACGTGGACCTGACCACCACCTGAATTCTGAAGCTGTTTGAATTGGGAGCCTCTGTCTGCAAACGGACAGGTTTGTGGGAAACCCAAGGGGCAGAGGGGCTGGGCACTGGGGAGGGGTCGGTGCCCCATCCCCTGCGAGGCACCGCGGGCGCGAGGGGGGAGGAGGAGCCGGAGAAGGAGCAGGAGCCACCCGGGGGTTTTCGTGTTCTCTGGGAAGGCGGCGGTGTGTGCCTCTGCCGTGGGGGTGCCTGTAGCCCGGGCCCACTGACCGTGGCCCAGGGGCTCGGGCTGGCCACGGCGGCTTCCCGCTCCCAAGGGACAGTGGCCTTTTTGCTGGATGCCGTGCTGTTCTCCTGCTTCACTTCCTGGGACCAGTTGATTGCCTTGCGGTTGGCTAATGCCCATCCTCTCTGTCGCCAGCGCTTCTCCGGCTGTTCGTTCACCGTCTGGACCTGTCGGGCAGGTGCCTCGGCTCCGTTTTCTCCAGCGCATATGGTGTTTATAAATCCCGCCGCAGCAGCTATGCACGGAAGGGAGTTGACATTTGGGAAACAAAACTTGTAGTTTTACATTTCCTCGGTGGTTGTTTTCCATAGATTTAGTTGCAAACTAACAAGTCGGCAGACGAGTCACGTGCCGGTGGCTGCGCCGCCCCGACCCCAGCTCCTGGGGGAATGCTGCTGGAAGGGCTCGGGGTTCCCGAGCTCGGCCCCTGTAAAGCTGTGCGGCTCTTTCCTGAAAAATGTCTTCAGTTCTTCAGGGAACTGTTACTGCAGAGAGTCAGTTTTGGGGTTATTTGCAGAACGCCTGCCCTGGCTGCGGGTTGGAAGTGCTGGAGATTAGTCCATTCAGCACCTCCAACATTTACAGAGCGCTCCTCAGTGACCGTGCCCTCTTATTACATTGGTGATACGCTTAAACCATTGTTTGTTCTGTACATATATTATAGCTGTCTCTAACGTTGGGATCACTACAAAGAAAATGATGAAAGGCACACCATTTTTCTTTTATCCCTTTTTATTGCCATAAAATCTGCCTTGCTGATAGAACAATCGTAGTTGTCTAAAATGTAAAGGAAGGAAATTAAAGAGCATTATTGTGGTAATAGCATTTAAAGCCCATTAATGTTTTCCTGCCATGGACCACAAGAATAGTTCACTTTGCCGTGGGATATATGAAAAGTAGAATGGTATTTTAAAATGAGGAGAGGTGTTTCTTGGTGTTCAAACACAAATTGGTGTTACTGGATTTCTTCTCGAGGAAGGAAAGGTTGTCTCGAAAGAGTGACACTCAGTCGATAACATGCATTTATCATACCTGCATCCTTTTGTGTTAGGGGAGTCCCGTATAGTATTTCTGGGTATTATGAAATTATTATTTTTCTGAAAAGGTTAATAAAAATAAGATTCAGAATAAATCCATATTGACTTTTTTATCCTTACGAACAAGTAAATGAAGAAATACTGATAAGGCACAAATGTGTTCTAAGAGTGGGCTGAGGAAGAGGAGAAGTGATGGGTTTTGGGGCCACCCCTGCTGTCCCTGCCCGCTCAGACCTGGCTGCCCTGCACCCGAACCACCTCATGAGCACAGACCAGGCGTTCCCCAGCCCACCCGTGGGGCGGTTCATGGGAGCCCTCACAGCCCCTTCCGTGCCCGTGCAGCCCCTCGTGCCGCCAGCCGTGGGGGGATGCTGCCGCGCAGCACAGCCCAGCCGCCTCCTTAGCACGGGTTTTCCTTCGTGACCCTCTTCCTCCAAGAGGGCGCTGCTGACGGCGGTGTGAGACCTCACATCGATCCGCTTCATTCGGTCTCGGTTCACCGGGGCGGGACGGGGTATGTGACAACTCCTCTGGTGCCTCCTCCCCTGCGTGGCGCGTGCCGCGTCCAGCGCTGAGCGAGGCCGGGGGTGCTGTGCGTGGGGGCTGCAGGTGGCGTGTCCCTCTGCGCAGTGCAGGATGGAGGTTTGTCGCAGTTGCTGTTTTAGCTGGTTTCTCACCACAACATTGGTGGGGCTCTCAGACGCCACTCTGTCAGATTTGCTGCTCTTGCCACTTTCTGCATTGACATATTGGAATATTTCAACATCTTTGCAGTGGTTTGGCTTAGTTTTAAATAGATGTTTTGGTTCTATTTATTAGGGATGGGGTTATTCTGCTTCAGAGCTGAGGTCTTTTTCCAGTCCGGTTCCCTTCACTGACCTGTTTGCAGCCCAGTTCTATCTGTGACCCCGCGAAAGACACAGCAGGGTGCATGAAGCCCCGTTAGCCCAAAGGTGCATAAATTGCCGCACGTAAATGCATGCCCCGTTAGCCCAAAGGCGCTAGCAGAGCAGGAAAAGGCAGACGAAAGAAGGAGCACTGACCAGCCCCGGCCAAGAGAATGCCCGTAGCTGGAGGGGCCGTGAGCTGTGGCACCGATGGTAATCCTGCCGGTGAAAAGTCACCAGGACCTCCAGTTCCCAGTCATCACGGCATAACGAATATGTCAAGGAGCGGCTCCTTCCTTCCCAGCTCAACCCGCTCCCAAGGGCCATGGGCTGCGGCACGCGGAGGAGCACCGTGGGCAGGCGGTTGGGTCTGGGACGGCGCCAGGTGGCAGCGGGGGTCTCGGCGGGGGAGCTGGGGGCAGAGACCTGGTCCCGTCACACCCGCTGCAGGACGAGGAGCGCAGATGTGCTGCCCATTAACAAAGCACAAATTATACATTTTCTCCTGCTCAACAAAGCCACAAAGAGCCTGAAGGGGCATGGGGGTGGTGTCGAGCCACAAGAGTATTTAATAGAGAGATTCAGTTAGTTAATTTAATTAACATATCTGCCTAATTCCCGTAAAGCCACGAGCAAGCAGCATTGCTCCAGCACGTACTCCCCTGCGCTTAAGGCATCCTCATCTCAGAGCACAGCTGACAGTGCCCGGCACCGAGCGCCCGCACACGGCAGCCGCGGTTCCCCCATCCCACCCGCGGCCGCCGGCGGAGCCTGTGACCGCTAACGGCAATCCCACAGCCCCCCGGTCCCAGGCCGGGATGATGCTCCTGCCCCTGGCAGGCTCCCTGCCCACCGGCCCCAGGGCTCTCCATCACCATCTGGGCACAACTCTTGAGGGATATTAGTTGTTTAGCGTAAATAAGTAAGTTTTAATTAGAATAAATTAGTGAGGATTACAATACGGTGTGATCTGTGCTGTTTGCCTGGCTTTACGGAGCATGAGCAGCTAGATTTGCTGAAGCCTTTAGGCCACGATAGTTATTTTTCTCAGTAATTTTCCCAGCAGCTGGTGCAGTGCTGGGTTTAGTCGTTTAGTGCGGGAAAGTGTTTTGATATCACAGTGATGTTTCGGTAGCATTTTTCCCTAGTCTGCAACTCCACAGTTCTCCGTGTTCTGCGAGTGCAGGTGCACGAGGAGTGTAAACCAGGAGATACGGAGGCTCCAACCCGTGGCTGAAACTGCAAATCAACAAGAGAAGAGCCTGCCCGGACACGGAATCCTGTTAGATGTGAGAAGACCCCAGACCAACAATCACCACGGACTGAGGTGCGTGGACGGTGCCTGACGGGCACGGGAGGGGCGGGTGTATCGATCACGAGGGTGTAATTGCACGGGGATTTCTTCGTTCGGGGTCCCTCTCTGGAGGCGCCCGGCTGTTCTTGCTGCTCTACCTCCCAGTTAAGTTAATTATCTTAAGAAACCCAGTGCCTGAGACCCTGCTGCCAGAAATGTAGGGTCGAGCCTGAAGAAGGAGGAAGCGTGCCCGGGAGAGTGTGCGTGTGTGTGCGCAACACCGTGAATGGTGTGTGAGTGCTCCAGCAGCAGCTCCTCCTTTGACAACCACCGTCCCAGCATCACCAGTCCTTCAGCCCACCGCACGCATGCTCTGCCACTACAGGGGTGCGGAGAAGTGGGTCGGTTTACCCTGACCCCTGGGCTCTGATGCATTTCGGCTGCAGAACCGATTGCCAGTCAGTCTGCCAGAGTATGAGGAAGGTCCTAAGAGTGCCCCGGTAGAGATTTTGATCCCAAAAGCCACGCGAGTGTTTCAGCAGGCAGAAGAAAGCCCCAGCTATACCTTGCAGATAAGTGAAGCGGAGTTTGTGATGTGTCCAGCACATATTACAAATAATGCAACTAATTTTGGGGAAAGCTTAAGCCGTGCAGCCTAGGCGGCTCTGGAAAAACCTGAGCCTGCGTCTCACACTCCCTACAGACACATTCGGGATCGTGCTGGGGGCTCAGTACTTCAGGTCCATTATTGTGGGTGTCAGTTCTGTGCATGGATGAGTCAAGAGACCTGTGCAAATTACAGGATTAAAGGTTTTACGAGGGTCTGTTTCTTCCGAAAACAGTAAGAATACCTTCTGTTGAACATACTCCGTGAAGAGCAAAGGCTCTCAGGATGGGTCTCAGTGTAAAAGCAAAGGTAAAACTAAAAGAGATAAATAGGCCTGTAGGGTTGCTCTAGTTTGGGAAAATTATTCCTTTTCTTTCCCAGGAAAATAGAAAATCCTCAAACTGAGGTTTTGTTGGTGGCTTGCTTCAAATAACCCAGTTTGATTGTTTGGAGGAGTTAAACAGATTTTTTCATGTAATTTATGTTCAATTATTTTATGAAAAAACCCTGAAAATGTGTTTTTCTTGGCAAAAGTACCCCTCTGCTCAAAAAGCTAATGCTTAATTAAAAAGAAAATTCAAACTCAAATTTGATCAACTTTCTAAATCAGTATTTTTCACTCTAACTTTAATCACCTAAAGGTCAAACTAATTTAAACTTTCCTTAAGTCCATAATACAAGGTATGAAAATGGGAGTGTATGAGGAACAATCTCAAATGAAATTAGCTCAAGGCAGTGCAACATGAGACTTAACGTGAAGGCAATAGCCTTTAACACATGACATGTATGAAGACGGCGTATATATACAAAATATGCGAAAGGTTTATTTGTTTGCACAGTGTTTGTGGTAAAAGAGACTTAGGACTGCTGGGCAGCAAGGAGCTGAGTAAGAACCCACGGTCCGGCGCTAACAGCTCGCTAACGGCATGGGTGCTACAGGCAGCCACGTACGACGTATTGACCAGGAGGATTCAATACTGCTTTATGCTGTTAATCTTCAGTAAACCCCACATAAAGCAACGGAAGCAACGGCACCAGAAACAGTTGAAAGTAACAAAAGCACTGCGTCCAACGTAGTACTGGGAAAACAACTGACTTCCGGAGCTGATTTGGGGGAACGTGGTAGCTTCAGGGAGATGACACGCTGACGGCTTCCCCTCGGCTCAGCTGCCTGCTGGAACGGGGTCCGAGGGAACCCATGTGGGGGGCTTCCAGAGCCGCCAGGGCTGAAACGAGGGGCAACCGCAGCGGTGCTGTGCGGAGCGCGTGCTGCGCCACACCGCGCTGTGCACCACCGTCCCGGAGGCCACAGGGAGCGATGATGCTCCGGCGCAAAGGTGGGTCCGGTGCTACAGCCTGGGGAGGCAAGGACAGTCCCGGGGCTTCCAGTGCCGCCGCTGTGTCTGAAAATGGGCAGTGTCCTGAATTGTCCGTTTCCTGTCTTGAATTGCAACGAACAATTAGAATTTCCCACGGATGGCAATATTGTACTCAATCAGCTGTCCCTCGGCAGAGAGCACATGTTGTGTGCAGCCCTACTGCAGGCTGCACAGTGGAACTCCTGATTGAGGCATGAGAGTACTATTGTAAATTGAACAAGAATGCATAATTAATAACCACAATAAAAGAATGAATCACATTAATCAGTAAAAGAAGATGCAATAAACTAAGACCAAACAAGGGAACAATTTAGCTCATACAGTAGGATACACAATTGCCTTCAAAAGTGATTGTACTAGGTAGTGTGCCCAGTAATTATGTTAATTCACATCCATGGTAGTTTCCTAAACTGTGTATAGTTTAGTCCCAGTCGTGCAGGGTCAGCTGAAGGATCTGGCAGGTTCCTGACAGTCATCTCTGTTATCTGTGCGTCCCTCTTCTTCATACAGTTCTCTAGACAGCAAAATCGTCACATGAACCGTACCAGTTTCACATGACTTCATCCCTGGCTCTGTCGTTCTCCTCTGGGACAAACAGCACATCAGGACTCGATGTCCCTCTGCTACTCATCCACCTTCACTGCAGTGAAACTGCTTACATGACCGAAGTTGAGTACGTGTGTAAGCGGTCCACTTCTTCATGGCCTTTACAGTCGTATATTGTTTCCTTCAGTGATTCATCCATCCTTTCCTCTGCACTGCCTCTTGAGGATGAAAATCTTTTCATCCGTTAACTATTACGAAGTTGGCTAATTCCAGGTGCCTTAGAGTGCTGAAAAGTTTACAGGGTCTCTGTGCAAGGAAAGACAAAAGTCCTGTAAATCTGTGAGTCACCTCTCTGTCACCTGGGACAGTAAATTTACATGATACTGGAAATTAAAAGAAACTCTTTGCACAAGATCTTCTATTTCAATGAGCTCCAAGGGATGTTGGCCTTTGAGTCTGGTCATTTTACAGCCATTCCTCCTGCTTAAAAAATGCTGGAGCATTTATTTTTTCCATAAGCTCTTGTAAAAATCTTTCAACCTGTTCCGTCATTTTAGCCTAGAGCAGCAAACCACTTCTGTGAACACTTTCATGCTTTCCGTAAAGACGTTAGGTTCGTTTTAACAGAAATCTCTTATTCAGAGAAATAGCTGCTGTAACAGAAGTGTCACCGCGTCACCCTGGCTCCCCGGTCCAGCAGTCTGCGGCAACAGTGGCAACCCTTTTTACCCAGTAAAGCTCAGCACAGGTACACGCAGTCCCATGCGGCAGAGGGTAAAACCCCACAGTGTCACGGGCATTCCCTCACCCACCTCCTCCGCGTTTGCCAAAGCCCCTGGTGCCTCTGCGCAGGCTCCTGCGGCAGGGCCATCCCTCCCCATCAGCGCCTGTACGGTGGGTGCCTGGTGACGTTGCTGACCCCACACAGGTGAGGAGGCCTTGGGCTGACCGGTGACACCGGGCACCGCCAGCAGCACCCATCCCTCGCGTGCTGAGGTCCCTCACAGCCACCCAGTGTCCCTCACAGCCCACCCAGTGTCCCTCACAGCCCACCCTATGTCCCTCACAGCCCCCCAATGTCCCTCACAGCCCACCCAGTGTCCCTCACAGCCCCCCAGTGTCTCTCACAGCCACCCAATGTCCCTCACAGCCCACCCAGTGTCCCTCACAGCCCCCCAGTGTCTCTCACAGCCACCCAATGTCCCTCACAGCCCACCCAGTGTCCCTCACAGCCCCCCAGTGTCTCTCACAGCCCCCCCAATGTCCTCACAGCCCACCCAGTGTCCCTCACAGCCCCCCAGTGTCCCTCACAGCCCCCCAATGTCCCTCACAGCCCACCCAGGCCACCTCAGAGCACCGCGTAAGACGCAACGGGAGGGAGGGGAAAGCAAACGTCTGGTTTTCGAGCGTAACCCAGAATAATAACCCCAAAGGAAACGCTGGACGGCCTCTGTAAGCACGAAAGCGACCTGGCACAAGGGGGGAGGGGGTGGGGGAAACAGGGCAACGGCGGCGCGACCCGGGGAAGCCCGTCGAGCCGGTGGTGGGCCCGG